GCAGGCTGCCCTGTTGGTATGCGTTATACTGTAAAATAATCTTAAGAAACGCTCCTATTAAATTATCCCTTAACAAAAGTCTGGGTTAAATTATAAAAGTTAATCTAATCACTTAAATATGTGGATGTCAAAGACAATCTCACAGAGCATGAAAAAACCCGCATTTTTTTATTCAAACATATAATTAGAGTAATAAAATAACTAAAATAATGAAGAAAAATATGAAATTCTGAAGGTTCATATGGATAAGTATCAGCCAAACTTACTTTGGCATCCACCAAGTAGTTGTAAGGCATGAAAATTATATCAGCGTCTGTCTTAAGTTCCCTTGACATATAATATGGGCAGCACCTAGAATGCAATTTACGTTAGCTTAAGCAGGATTCATAGCGATAAATTCTGGACAAATTTTAAAATAACTATTCAAAATACCTTGTCTCTTTGCCAACTCTGACAAGATCTTCTATATCAACAATTCCTCCAGCTTTTGAAGCAGCAAGGAGACTATCCCTTTTATCTAGGATAGAAAAATTAAGTGTAAAATGAGCGTGATGGCTTGCAAATTAAAAAAAGTCTTAGATAATGAGTAAATGATCCCATGACAGTTAGTAATACTTAACAAATCAATGTGGTAGGTGGAATTTTTGAAAAGAAAACAATCCCCAACCTAGTAGAAATTATTATCGTATGTTCATTATAATTTTAAGAGTATGAGAAGCAAAAACAGAATTTTCACCCTTTACTTAGTAATGTATATATATATGTATAATCGGGCTACATCGACCATAAAACAAATATCAATTGGTAGTTAGTTATAAACTTACGGTCGAAATTTCTAAAATATTCGCAACTACGTGTTTGCACGCGTACACGGCAGTTAAAAACTTTTGCAGAATTGGATTCCAAATTCACAATTTCAGGTAGAAGACACAATTGGTCACGTGAACCAATAACGCCAACACGCCGACTAGAAAATGCATAAAAAACTAATTTACCTGGAATATGACGTCCGTTTGAGTGCTTGTATGGCTTGTGATAATTGCGCATGCGTCCTAGACGAAAATATGATTTTGGGAAATGATATAAGATTTTCGATTTGAGGTGCTTGAACTAAAGCTTTAGAATAGTTCAAGATCATGCTTTCATCTGCCTTAGAAAAATCATTCAAAGGTGTTTCAGCAGTGAGATGATTTTGAACAAGAATGCTCTCTTGCCAGGCAAGCGAAGAACATAAAAGACAAAGCGTTTTTCCTGTGCCAGTTGGAGATTCAAGAATAGCATGTCTCTTCTGATAAAGTATGAACCAAAATACAAATTATACCTGAATTAATGCCTCAACAACTTTATTCATATATGTTTTCTGGCATTCATATGGTTCATATGGGAAAGAAACGGAAATACCACCAAGAAGTTCAACCAAAGGCATGCTGTAGAATACATATAAAGCGCCTTAAAATTTCTGTAAATAATAAAATAATTACAATTTATTTATAAATTGTATCTTTTTTTGTTATTTTTTCTTAAAAAAGTTATTTTGTTTGATATTATTATATAATAGTGACAGGCGTCTGGCGTTATGTTAAGTTCTAAGAAAACAGACCACCAGGATTGGGTTACCG